CGGAGGGGGCCCCTGTTCTGGGTGTGACAGCCGCGGAGGGGGCCCCTGTTCTGGGTGTGACAGCCGTGCAGGGGAAGTTGTAATAGTAAAGCCTCACCAGAGAACAGATGCCTGAGGTCACAGTTGTGTGGTCCCAGACAGACCATCACCTGGAGAACGGGATCCGTCCAGCTGCCCTGGGCAGTATTTGCTGGAGCTCATGGTCATACATGTCTGCTGTCCCCGAGTTGTGTGACTCATGGTGACCGCTCACACTGTAGAGTCAGTCCGCCCTGTGGAGCCGCCTTGCTGAAGTCTTTGTGGAAGACTCTTCCTTGCTTCTGTTGATGCTGTTAACTGGTCCAGCGGGAAGGACTTGTTTTATGCTGCTATGCGATCATTCGTTCTGGAGGCTGTAGTCTTAGAGCATCATCAGGCTTATTGAGAGATGCATCTTGGCATACATCAGCGTAGGACGTGGGTGTCAGAACTCAGTTCCTGCGCTGGGAGCCTCAAGACTAGGTATCTCAGCGGGTTCGAGTCCATCACTGGCTTCCCAGGAGAAAGATGGGCACTTTCTCCTCCTGTGAAGATTTACAGCCTCAGACCCAGCAGCGGGTCACAGGGTCGACTTAGTGGCAGAGGGTCTGGCAGGTTTTACTGGATGTCACTGTAAGCATCTGTCACTATGCAGATATATTAGTAGAGGAGAAAGAAGGCAGGTGAGATGTGCTTGAGTTGATTCCACCTCGTGCTGGCCTCACGTGGCCCTGGGTGGAACTCTGCGCTGGTGCTGTGCAGGGGTCATGCCCCAGAAACCAACGGCCAGGCCTTACTTCTGAGTGCCTCTGGGTGGACCAGAGCCGAGCACGAGAAGCCTGCCCTGCCCAGGGACATCGCGTGAACAGTGTTGTTGCTCTGACTCGGTGTGTCACGTGCTACAGGCGAGTGACCAGCCCCTGGGTTTCAATCATCCAACTTGTGTATAATGCTAACTAGAAACTGACCCCATAGAGTCTGTTAGAGTGAAACCCCCAGGTCATCACGTGGTTTGCAGGGACCAACAAGAGCCCTCTGCACCTGGAGGGCTGTGTCGGAGGCATCTCAGTGCAGCTGCAAGTGTTTCCTGCATGTTCCTTCAGACAGGTACGCCGGACACTAGACACACCTGCGTCTGATATCACACGAAGCATGTGCTTACTGTCCGACTGCATACAAGTTCCATTCCAGCCGGTGTAGGCACAGAACTCGTTGGTAATACAGGGGTGGCCAGCACAGAACTGCCTCAGAGGGTTTTCTTGGCTATGATTTTAACAGAAGCCACAAACCAGGACTTTAAGAATTTAGGATGCGTCAGCCACTCAGCCCTAGATGAGCAGCTGAGTGTGAACATTTTCATCACCAAGGGAGTCAGTCATGTAACACTATACAGCCACATGCACACATCCATACACACCCCCCTGCAGATGCCCCCACACACTCATGTGGACGCTCCCATGCTCATAGGTACAGACTTATGTTACCCACAAATACCCATGCTCAAACACCCATACACCCTATCAACACACCCACAGACGCCCTTGTGTGCATACCCTTCCCTGCACAACCCCACCCATTTGCACACCTACAGAAGCCATGTGCACACTCACAAGCACCTATGTGAACCCATCCACGCCCCCACATCTCTATGCACAGACCCTCCGTGTGCCCACATACTTGCATATGCACACATCCGTGTGCACAGACCCTCCACTTGCCCATACACACCCACATGTACACACCTCCCGTGAGGGTGTGCTTACACATTGTGTGCATTCACACACCTCCATGTGGGTAATTATACCCCCCCTGCAGACATACTCATCCTCACCCCCAAGCACTCACACCTCTCATGCACACACAACCCACAACCACACACGTGTGTTCACCCACACACCCATGTGTATACCCATTCAGGTATGCAAGCAAACCTATGAACTCTGTATGCAAACTACTGTAAAATTCTAAAAGAAAAAAACCCCAAAATAGGTAAATAAAATTAAACCAATAATTTTGAAGCAATTAAAAAAAATCCCCCACAAACCACCAAAACTAAAAATGCATATTCACCCATTGGTGCACACTCACCCATCTACACACACCTACACATATAGACCCATATACAGCCTTGCACGCCTATCCATATAGTCATTTGTGCGCGCGCACACACACTCTCTCCCTGGTATACCACCACTAAGCTATATGCATGCACTTGTGTACACATTCATGTTCCACATCCAATGTATACACAAATTTTTACTACGTGCACACTCCACTGGACATGTACACTGATCGTCTATGTGTATACCCCATGCCACTTGTGCATTCACCCAACCAATGTCTACACCAGTCTTCAATTTGTACACGTCACTGGTGTGTACAGCCACCTGTGCCTGTGTGTACACCTCACCTCCATATGTACACCCTAATGTGCAAATGCAGCCAGTGGAGATAAACCCACAAAGTGTACACACATACTCCTCTGTGTACATTCGCTGCATTTGTACTCCCACCAGACCCCAATGTGGACACCCACCTGACCAGTGTGTGCATCCAGCATGTGTACAGCCCTCGTGTAAATGCCCCTCTATGTGTACATCTACCCCAAGTGTATACCCATCCATGTGCCCGCCCACCCATCCTCCTCGTGAGGACACTCACCTCATGTTCATCCCCTCCAACCCTGGGTACCACCGTATTTCCCTCCATGTACACAGCCACCATGCGTGCACACACTACCTCTCTCCCCCCCCTCAAGTATATACTCCTGTACTCCTGCACCTCTCCATGTACAAACAGCTCTCCCTTTACACACACATACCCTCATAGGGTACACACCTACCATGTGTACACCCATGCCCTCTCTGTGGTACACACACTCCATCCATGTTTACACTCACTGTGTGTGCAATGACCCCTCCTTGTGGCCACCTACCCCCTACATGTTTATACCCAAACCCCATGCGGACATCCCCTACATTACGTACAGCCCCCTCCATGTGTACACCCCCACGTGGACAATCCCCATGTGTAACTACACACACGTATAGGTGTATATCCATAATACACCTGATCCCTCCGTAGGTACATGCACCCCATGTGTACACTCACCTTTCCATGTGTACACCCACCTCTCCCCATGTACCCTCATCCTTCCATGCGTACACAGCCTACCCCATTTGAACACCTAACCCTCCCTGCGTACATCCACCTACATGTGAACACCCACTCCTCCACTTTATGCCCTCCATGTGTGTACCTCAATGGGTGCACCCTACCCCATGTGTCCCACCACCTCCTTGTGTACTCTTCTGCTCCCATGTTTATACTCATATTTATAAACATCTATCAGTACATGCACTTTCTCACGGGTACATGAACCCGTTATGTGCATTCACCCACCCCTTGTGTGTACCCTCATCACTCTGTATGTCCATGCACCACTTCTGTGTGTACACCCCCATGTACACTTATGTATGCATCTGCTCCCATATTTAAACCCATCCTTATATGTATACGCACACCTGTATGTGTATAAACACCTTGCCATCACCCACCCATAAGTACACTAACCACCCATTATGTACACCTACACCTATATATACACCATTGTTCATATGTATACACCTCCCAACATACATAGCCACCCCAGTGTGTACACCTAGCCCCTCCACACGTACACATCTCAATGAGTATACACCCCACTGGGTGTATACTCACCACCTCCTGTGTACACCTACCCGCTTCAATGTTCACCTACCCCTCTATGTCTACACTTAGCCATCCTGCGTGGACACCCACCCTCACTCATGTACAAAACCTCCTGTATACACACAGTCAACACTTGCAGTACCTCTGCTGCTTACCCTGTCCCAGGCACAAAGCCACTGCTTGGTTTGTTGTGGTGATGCTGTTGCCACGGGCTGTTAACTTGGAACCGACTCATAACTGACCCTCTAGTGGGTTTTCAGAGGCTGTAAAAGGCTCGAGAGGAGAGAGCAGCCACCTGCCTGTGGGTTGGCAGTTCAGCTCCCTACCATGAGGCCACCAGAGACCGAGGAAAGCCTGTGCAGCTTTCACTCCATGTTCCTCTTTTAGAAACTGTGGGTTCGGGGGGCCGAGTGCAGTTGGCTGGCTGGGAATGAAAGGGTCCATAGCCTTGGTGTGCACATGGCCTGGGCATGGCATCGAGGTGTCCAGGATGTCTCAGGAAGGGGGTGTCCCAGTTTGATATTAAAGTAGTGCCTGCATTTAAATCCTCTCAGTCTGGGGATGTGCGATGCACTCAATGTTTCCTGGGGGCTCAGGCCTGTGTCCCTGGGGAACCCTGCTGACAATGAGCACGGACGGGGCTGTTTACCACAGTGGGCATGCTTTATTGTTTTCAGAAACACGCCCCTTCCACGAGGTAGTGACGCCGTGGTCTGGGGGCGGCCACTGGGGAGCCAAATCCAGTGTTTTTCTAAACTCCAGAGTCCTGGGCGTGTACTGAGGGGCTGCTTTCCTTGGGGTGCAGCCTCTGTGGACCCCAGACCTACCCCACAGTGCTTGCCATGTTCGATACCCTCAGGACACCTTGGAGGTCTACACCCACAGTGCTGAGAGTGGAGTCACTAGGACGGTTGAGGGCCTGATCAGCTGACCTGCATGTACTCCTCCCATCGGAACTGGTCAGGACTGATGGACAGGAGACAGTGGACAGCCCCGAGAGTGGACAGGTGTAGACCCACGTGGCTACGGTTCACAGGGACTCTGTGGCCCCCCCAGCCTCCAGACAAGGCTCTGGTAGGTGGTGCGCTCCGTCTGCCACGAGTGGTGCGTCCGTACGTACTCCCGCCCGTTGGCCACGATGTCCCTCTCCAGCACCGGGTCCCCAAGCAGCCTCTTCGCCAGCTTGACAAACTCCTATAGAGACATGGGAGGGAAAGAGATGAGTTACTAAAAACGGGACATGCGGCCGTGGCCCCAGGACATCGCCTGGTCTCCCTGGGACAGCCAGGCTTTGGGACAGGGAGGGGGGAGGGAGGGACAGAGGGATGAGCCCAGGACAAATGTCCATGGCCAGTACTGACTGGCACCGTCAGTCCTCTGTTCCTCTGCAACCACACTGCCATCTGGCAGTGAGTCTGAGACTTGATCTTAGTGTCACTGGACGCTTCACCTCTGCCTGCTCATCTGCGTCCTGTGAACGGGCCAGGATGACCTCTGTGAGACCAGGCAAAGCTGCTGTCCTCAGGTCGGCCCAGGACCCTGCAGGGCAGAACCCCCAGGGGGTTTTCAAGGCACCATCTGCATGGAAGTAGGGGCCACCTCGACACTCTGACCTCTCCCAGCTGGTGGTGCAAATCACTGGCCTTCTGGGCAGCAGCCAGCGCTCACCTACTGAGCCACCAGGGCTCCCTTTAGCATGGAACCCTTCCTAGGTCAGAGGATGGGAATGACCGACTACTGGGGAGATCAGGGAGAAGGGGGCACAGTGTTCATTTGGCTGGTGCAGCAGCAAGGGGAGGCGTTCTCCAAGCAGCAGCAGGAGTTACTGCAGCCCTGCCATCATGCGAGGGTGGATTCCACAAACGCTGTGCCTCCGTTCTCTCATCCGTAAGTTGGATCACTGTCTGTCTGTCTTGGGTGGTGCTGAGAAGCCCGAGTTCAAGGGCAGAGCCCAGCAGGTAGCCACTTCCCAAGAGCCACGTACTTGTCAGCTCCAGAGAGGCAGCGATGCCCACACTTAGTCCACAGAGTCAGGCGGCTTAGAAGGAAAATATCCCTGTTTTTAAAATAGTTAATTAAATGTTGAGCATCTTTTATAGCTAGCAGTATACAAAGTAATATTTATGATAATAGTGGTATTATGTGTACATTTTATAGTAAACTGGGGTTCTTTTTATAACATTAATTCCCATCTCATAACAAAGTAGCGTTCTTAGACTAAAAGGTTTATGGTGCTGTTGTTACCTTACAGTACTGGACGGTCTTGAGGAGCCCTGGTGGCTTGGCGGTCTGAGCCCAGAAGCTGCTCTTTGGCATCTGCCCCTGTTTAAATGCACAGCTTGGAAACCCTGCACAGTCTCGCCGTCCTGCAGGTGACTTGATGACAGTGGGTTTCTTTTTTTCGGTTTGCCTGCATCTATCATATTACCGTTTTTATTGTGGTTTGGATGAAAGCTTACAGAGGAAATCTGTTTTCTATTCAACAATCTGTACGCAGTTTTGTCTCATGACCTGGGCGTCAATATAGCAGCATTCTCCCCACTTCCTCCCTGGTGTCCTCACTTCCATCCATCCTTCTCTTCCTGCCTCAGTTGCTGTGTCATCGGGACCAGGGCTGCCCTTCGGGAGGTTGACTGCGCTGAGGGGTGACTGTCCCTGGTGTGCTACTGGTCACTGTACAGGCCTGCCTGTGGTTGGATGGACATTGAGTCATGGAGGTGAGCTCAATCCCAGGTTTGAAGGGTGGTGAGTCTCAGGGCTCACCCATCCATCTCCCTCAGACAGGCCAGCCTGACCGTTTGATGTGGTTTGGCCGTGTCATTGATCTATCTGATGCAGAGACGACAGCTGGACCCCAGTCCCCGCTCCCATGCATTTCTTAGAAACATGTGCATCATTTTACTGCATCTAATAATCTGTTGTGTATGAAGACCTCTCTTTTCCCTTTTACTAAAAAGGCCAGCAAACAGCTCTCTCTGAATGGAAGGCCTACAGCGGGAGGGCCCGGGGTAAGTAAGGTGTCACCTATGACAGCCGTGGGGTGCTGGGCGTATCATGTCTTTTGCTGACCAGTAGCCCGCTCATCCCGTCCAGCCAGAGTCCTGCTCCTGGGTTAAGGCCAGCTGAGGGACAGTGTTAGGGCCGTGCCCTGTGTTGACTGGGTGGTGTCCCCCGCTGTTCCTGGGTCCTGGCAGGACCTCTCTGCAGTGGGACTCGGCACCCCTCCTGGGAACTGAAGCTGTTGCTGAACCCACTTCCACCCACAGCAGAGGCCAGGCCAAGCCGACTGTCACTTTGTCCCAAGAACCGATGCTGCTTTGTGAAATTCTGGATGTCCATTTGCAGAAAAAGAAACAGGATTTTTTTTCCCTTTGACTTTTTAATTTGTTTGCATGCAGTAATTCATATACACTGTTTTCATTCATGTATGGTATGTTTTATTTAATTACTAGTGATCTATTTTATGAACCCAATTAGTTAAAAAAGTATCTCCAGCTGTCTCTTCAGCATTATAACAGAGATGGGCAGTCTCCTCCTGTGTGACTGACCACCTCTGAAAGCCCGCTGAGGGTCAGCTAGGAGGGGACCGTTGAGTCACTGGCATGTAACAATGTCCCAGGTTAATAGGCTTTGTCCCTTGTCACACACAAGCTATCCACGGTGGCTGCTTTACTCCAGGTCCTCAACTCTGGCACTGGCCTAGTAGCCGTCACAATACTGGACCAGGCTGTGTGACAACTGGTCTGGGGCATCCCTGGACTCTGGAAGTGCCAGCCCCGACTCCGTTCTTTCCCTCTGGTGCTACTTGTCCATCCTTCCATATGAAGCGATGGTTAGGTTTCTGACATGTTGCTGGCTTCTTCTGGTCTGGACTTTGTTGAGAATTTCTGCTCCATGTTCACAAGGGATGCTGGTCTTCCTATTTTCCTTTTTAATGATGCCTGGGCCTGGCTTTGGTATCAGGTGAGGAGGACTATTCAGTCCTTTTCTATGCTCTAGAGTAGTCAGGTCAGAACTGACATCAGCTCTTCTCTGGACATTTGGTAAAATTCAGTAGGGAAGCCGTCTGGGCCAGGACGTTTTCAGGGGGGCATTTTTTTGTTTTGACCCACTCTGCTGCTGCTTTACTACAGGTTTGTTAGAGTTCTTTGGGGTTTTTGTTTGTTTGTTTTTACTCAGTGTGTTAATTTGGGTAGGCTTCTGTCCATTTCTCCCAGATTTCAAGTTTGTTGAAGTATAGTTCATTTGTATTTCAGTTGGTCCTGTTGTGACATTTTATATACTTCTATCCATCCCTAGTCATTATCCAGTTCTCTGATGCATAACAAGTGATTGCAAAGGCCGTAGCCTGTTTAAGGCACACCTTAGTCTCTAGACTGACACTGCCTCTTCAGTATTTTGGAGAGGTCTCTGCAGCAAACTTTTCCAACACAATACGCCTTTCCGTGTCCTGGCTGCTAGTGCCAAGAGTGGATGACAGAAGAATTATTAATGCCTTTGAGCTGTGGTGCTGGAGAAGAGTACTCAATGTACCATGCACTGCTAGGAGAACAAACAGGTTCGTCCTGGAGAGGGTAAAACCAGGCTGCTCTTTGGAGGCAAGGATTCTGAGGCTTTGCCTGACAGACTTTGGACATGTTGCAAGGAGGGACCAGTCCTTGGTCAGGGATGTCATGCTTGGGAGGGTGGAGGGACAGTTCAGGAGAGGAAGACCCCGATGAGATGGAGTGACACAGTAACTGGGACAATGGGTGTAGGTGTGTGGGAGACAGACTGGCTCAGGACAGGGTAGACTTCAGAGCTGCTGTACACAGGGTCGCTATGAGTCACAGGTGACTCGATGGCACATAACAATGTGTCTCTTAAATTTTTATTTTTGGGTTGTTTCATTAGGTTTGTAGATAGTCATTATGGTTCTAGTCACTTGTTGACTTGACCCTCTGTCTAGTCTCCATCATAATCACACTTGGCCTGTGTTTTACACAGGGTTTCCCCCAAAGTCTGCTCTTCAGTAACATCACTGCTCCTGCTCTGCCTCTCTCTGCCTTGTGTGTTTTCCACCCTTTGGTTCTCAGGTTACATTTGTTTTGCATCTCAGATGTGTCTCATAAGCAGCATTCTTGCTGATGGGCAGTGCTTGCTCTGTTCTATAGCTGTCATCTGACAGGTTCCTTCAGTCACTTTATGTTCAGTGTCATTACCAGCAGGTATAAACTGCGCCCCCCCCCCTTATCTGTATACCTGGTGCTGTTAGCGTCTTTGTTCTGAGCTGTATTCATTCTATTTGGTGACATCATTTCCCTCATTGCTACCAAGTTAGTGTTTTCTGTGTTTCTACAACTTCTTATTATGGGGTGGCTCAAAGTCACTCAGTCTTGGTATTGTCCACCGTCTATTTGGAAGTTCTTTAAATCATTTCTTCTCTTTGATCTGAAGTTGTCATGTATAAAATGGCATCATTAGCTGAGAGGCGCTGCCAACCTGAAGGTATGCGGTTTGAATCCACCAGCTGCTGTGCGAGAGGAGATGGGCAGTGTGTTCCTGTGAGATCCTCTGAAAAACAGCGGGCTCAGTTCTGACACGATGGTACCCAACACCAAGGTTCCTGTTGGCAGTCTTGTAGTAGGTTTATCTTCGTTCATAACTCCTGGTGGCAAAGTGGTTAACGTTGTCAGCAGCTAACTGGAAAGTCAGGAGTTCAAACCCACCAGTCACTCCAATGACCAAGATGTGACTACTACTTCCATAAAAAGCCTAGGGCCCGAGGCGAAGTGTGCTGCAGGTCCCCGTCGTGGGGATGAGAACTGATGAGTCAGACAGACGGCGGCTGCTGTTACGTCTAAGTCCGTTTCTCCGTGACGTCACATGTCCCAATTCCTGCCCAAGGATTTCACTTAGCGTTTCTCCTAAGGTGGTCTGGTTTTTTAAATTCCCGTATTTTCTCCATCATATCTTGAGGCACCGTTTTGCTGGATATATAATTACTGGTTGACTTCTTTCAACTCTTGGCCTTCCTAACCCCATGGTTTCTGTGAAGAAAGCAGAGATGAGTTTTACTGGTTCCCGTTCTTAAGTTTGTTTTCTCCGAGCTGTTCTTGGAACTGTCTGCAATCTAGAAAATTTAACAGTGACAGGTCTGGAGACTTTCTTTTGAGGACTTGTTAACCTTCTCAAATATCTGTGTCTTCCTCTTT